GGCCTCAAGCTCCGGGGGAAGGACATTGGAAAGCCTATCGAGAAGGGGCCCAGGGCAAAATGAACACAAAGCCTCGAAATCAGTGCGTTCCGGCTGATCTCGTCTGGCTGGTTCCCCTCGACCACCAGTATCTACGTGGGCCTCCTTGCGCGGCTGAGCGGAACACGGGGTCAGGCTTGCCAAGCCCCTCCCCAACCCACACCTGCTGTAAAACAAACAAAACCTTGCAAACTATTTGCTTCTGACTTTTTTGTTCTTTCTCCCGCTTTTGGATTGAGGCACAGAACACGGCCTCCCAGAGTGTCTGCCCTGTAGGCATTGTCAGAAGCCTGGGTAGGGAGATACTGAGGAACACCTCAGTATCAGGAGCACAAAGTGGGGGCTGAGGATGTCACTGGTGCTGCTTCTCTAATGCGGCATTTAAAGAGAAGCTGGTAAAGCTTGTACCCTTCCTGCCAGTAGCACATCTTGCTGCATGTGCTTCATTTCTGCCAGTGCCCAGGCCTGCCACCTGTGCCTCCCAGGCTGGGCCACAGCTGTGGGATGAGGGGTCTCTGAGTCTGGTCTCTGTCCGCAGTCATCGGGCAGTCTCATGTTTCCTGAATGTGCAGGACAGTGTGAGCAGCTCCTAATTGCTGCCCTCTCTAGGGCTGAGTTCTCAGTACAGGCAGGGGCCCTGCTGTGCCCACTAGGACATTGATGGATCCTTGGGACAGATGAGTGTCTGAGGCAGGGCAGAGCCTTCCTGTGGGTGGGAAGAGAGTACGGGGCTGCCTAGGTGTGATTTGTCACTGCCCTCCCTTGAGGCAGCAGTGGGAAGCCAGCCCTCTCAGGCCTCAACAACCACGTTCCTGCAGCAGGGCTATGTCCATATTGCTCATGTGGATCAGCAGGTTTTTGGGCCTGGCCCTGGGGTGAGAGATGTTGGTCCATGTGGGTTAGAACAGCGATCTGTGTCAGTACCCCAGACTACTTCACCCAGCTCCAGAGAGTCCCCTTCCCTCCTGAGCCTGGAAGCTCAGCAAGGCCAGGGATCAGCCTACTCAGGCCCTTGGGGTTCCCTCCTAAGGGAACCTTGGCATAATGACCTGTAGCCAGGGATTGCTGAGACCTTTGCATGCACAGTGGGCAAGAGGGGACAGCACCACGAGGGTAGACAGTGGACATGGGGTCTCTGATTGGGGATAGGGGACTCAGGATCCTCTGCCGGGGATGGGAGATGTGGGGTCCTCTGACAGGGACAATGAGGCAGGCTCCTTTATTGTGGACAGGACACAGTGCGACATTCCTCTCCCACCGTGTTGCCACACTCTAGAAAGGTTTTGCTGCTTTAGAAATGTTCCTGTGCCAGTTTGTTTCCCACCTGGCCTGGGGCACTGGCTTCTTGATGCTGCCAGGGTGCTCCCTGTGTCTGTGTCCTGTCTTGAGCTGCATAAGAAGCAAGGAGTGGCCCTGTACATGTTCTGGGTGTGTATTGAATCGGGTCTGAAGTCCTTGGAGCCCCTCCCCGCTGACCAGCAATGTGTGGGTGTGCTGGCCTTTGTCCCACAAGCCCAGGCTCATGAGGTAGGGTATTTCTTCATGGAGCAACAGTCACAGGACCAGACAAGGAACACAGAGGCTCAGTGTGTCCTGCAGTTTAACCAGCAGTGGGGCAGGCATTCAGTGCCCACTGGGGTCCGACTGAGTGGTGAGGTGCTTGTGTGAGGAGCCAGAGCCTCATCTGGTGGTCTATGGGTCATTGGTGACAGACGCTGGGAGGGTGACATGATCCTACGAAGGAGAACTCCTGCTGTGACTGCTGTGGGAGGCAGGGGCTGGAGTGCAACAGTGCTGGGCTCCAAATTGTAGGCTGCTGCCCACCCATCCCCAACCAAGGCGGCTTCCTACTGCATTGAAGAGGATGTTGTCAAAGCCAGAGGTTACAGGCTCCCTGTTGCTCCAGAAGGGGCAGCCTCCTGTCTTCTGAAGCCAGAGCCAGCCTCCAAGTCCCAGCAGCACCAGGAGCATGAAGAGGAGGAGGGCGCCACTGACTGCAGCTGGCACAGACCCAGGCATGGCTGCGTGCCCTGTAGGACATGACGACACATGAACTCTGGGACTTGAGCCCACTATAGTGGTCCCCACATACCCCTGGTCTCTGCTGGTTTCAGGGTTCACCCCTTTAAATAGCAATTCTCAACCTGCGGGTTGTGACCCCTTTTTAACAATGAAAATACATTGTAGCTTTAGAAAGGTTGAGAACCACTGCCTTGCTTTTTTTTTTTTTTTTTTTTTTTTTTAATAGACAGAGTCTCATTTTGTTACCCTTGGTAGAGTGTGTGACTTCACAGCTCACAGCAAAGTCCAACTCCTGGGTTTAGGGAATTCTCTTGGCTCAGCCTCTCAAGTAGGTGGGACTACAGGTGCCCACCACAACTCCGAGCTATTTTTTTGTTGCAGTTTGACCAGGGCTGGGTTCAAACCCACCACCCTCAGTATATGGGGCCAGTGCCCTACCCACTGAGCCATAGGTGCCACCCAGAGAACCACTGCCTTTAAAGGAGGTAAGTGTTGGCACAGCCAATACTGAGCTGTTGGATGAGGCTGGGAACCTGGTAGGCAAGCAGCTGCTGTCTGCAAACTAAGGTAATGACCCAGTCACCCCTTCCTCACAAAGCTTACCTGCCCTGACCTGATCTAGTAGCTCCTGTAGGTTGGACCCTGCCCTGGGTGTGGGCATAGGGAGTGCAGAAGCTATGGCCTAGCCAGGTAGGGGGTGCCCCAGGGGCCAGAGGGACAGGGCCAGGAGGCACAGAGCTTGGTCTTGGTGGCTCCCTTGGCCTCCCAAGCTGAGTCAGGGTGCTGGCAGCTACTAGGGTCAAATGACCTCAGCAGACCCAAGCAGATTGTCCACCCTAGGTTTTCCAGAATGCCTTTGGTAACAGCCCAGTGCTTACCCTGGCTGGGCGTGGGCACCTGGCAGTGATGCCCAGCCTGGTACTCAACATCATCCAGGGCGATGGGTCCCAGGGCAGGCTGGCCACTCAGAGTGGCTTCAAAAACAATCTGGCAGAGACAGGAAAGAGGCCATGAGGGCCCAAAGGAGGATGGCCCTGTGGTCCCGTGGCCAGGGCAGCCAGCCTCACCTGGAACTCCTCAGTGCTGGCCACCTCGACTTGGGCCTCTAGCCACTGGTGCCTCCGGTGCCCGCCCTGGCCCCACACGGCCAGCTGGCCCTGGGTGCTGGCCAGCAGCACCCTCAGCTCCCCCTTGTCTGAGAGCAGGGCCTGGTGTTTTCAGGCCTTGGCACCCAAACCAGGTGCAAAGGGGCTACCCTCCCCTGCAATGCCCCAAGCCCCTGCTCCACCCACTACCCAGGCACTTGCTGGCCAGCCAGACTTACAGAAATGCTCTGGAAAGCCCATGTGGTACCAGAAGCGGAGACAGGAGGCCTGGGTGGCTGGCAGGGGCTCACTGCGTAGCCAGGCCACCTGCCCCCCTGGGCCCAGTACGCCAGTTTCAAAGAAGGCAAAGTGGCCTGAGAATGAGAGTGCTCAAGCCCTCAGTGGGCCAAGTGGGGCCAGCCCCTCGCCATGAGGGGGGTCTGGGTGGGAGGTTCCACTGGATAAAGGAGCCCCCCAAGCTGCAGCAGGTGCACACCTGCCTCTGTGCCCAAGGTGTGGTCCACAGAGGGATGGGGGTAGCGGGAAGGTGTAGTACCACTGCTCCAGTCCCAGCTGTACCCGCTTAGGCCAGGCCAGGCCAGGTGGCTCCAGCCACACAGGCCAGTCTCAAAGTCACAAGAACCTGCAAGGAATTGGTATTAGGTGTTACCTGACTCCTGGGTACCACTGCTGGGGAAGGAGACAGATGGGTGGCTGAGAGTCAGGGACTGAGGCAAGATTTGTGGCCCGCAGGCCATGCTGGGCTCCCACCTGGCTGAGGGCAAGCCCCATCCTGGAGAAACAGGTCATCTAGGGCCACGTAGGAGGGCTGCACACCTGCAGCCACAGCCTCAAACACCACCTGATAGGGCAAGGCAGGGCAGCTTCAGCCACTTCTGGGCAGCCTTGGGGGGATGAGGAGGAAGGAGTATCTCCCAGGACCAGGCACTCACCCTCCAGGCCTGCCCAGCCTGAATGCCCACGCTGCCCAGGCGCCAGACAGCCCCTCCTTGGGCACTGATGCTGAGTACCTGACGTCTCCCACTCTGCTCCATGTGGACTCGTAGGGTACCTGCCGTGCCATGGGCCAGCCCAGGTCAGCAGCAGTGCAGGAGGAATGCAGACCGCAGCTGGGGTCCCCCTCACCTTCCAGCTCAGCACCAGGCAAGGGGCCTGTGAGGATGCCAGGCTGAGCCTCCCTGAGCCCCAGGAAGAGTGGACAACCTCACCTGGGTTGCGGGGGCTCAAGTGGTACCAGAAAGTCAGGCAGGCGGACTGGGCCAGGGGCCTGTACTCCTCTGAGGTCAGGGTGGCCACGTGGCCCTGTGGCAGTGCATTCGGGCTCATGTCCACCACCATGTAGTGTCCTGGGGGTGCCAGTGTCAGTCTGCCAGCCCCTGGCTGGCCCTACATCCCTGTCCCTGCTGGACCCCAGTACCTTGAGCTGTTTCTGTGGTGTGGTCTGTTGGAGGGCCCCAGGCAGCCTGGCCCGAGGCATTGGTCTGGCACTTCCATAGACCTTGGTCTCCGGTGAAGAAGCCACACCCTGAATCCTCAAAGGAGCAGTGCTTAGGTGCCCAGCAGGGATCAGGCCGCAAGGCCACATCGTCTAGGGCCATCGTACCATGGTACCCATCCCGGAGGCCCTCGAACAGCAGCTGGGGGCAAAAGATGTCAGCTGGCAGGGCCCTGCCCTCACACCCCTCCCCTTGGGTGCCATGCCTCACTTGGTACTGGGTGTGGAAGTGAGGCTGGTGGTGAAGGGTGGCCCAGGCCTCGTGCCAGCGGTTGCCATGGGTGCCTGACCGTGACCACAAGGGTGTGTCCTCCTCTCCTTCCCGTCTCAAGAGTAGACGCAGTGTCCCTAGAGGTAGGTGGAGATTGAGGGGATTAGCCCAACTCCTAACCCTCCCAGGCCTCAAAAGGCCCCTGCTTGCTCACCGATCTGGGGCCCATAGAGGTGGTACCAGAAGCTGAGGCACTCTATGGGGGCTACTGGGACCTGGGGCTGGGAGAGCAGGTAGGCACCATGGTCCCGGGCTGGGGGCTCTGTGGGGTCCAGGAGCATGAAGTGGCCTGTAGAAGACATGGGGCCAACTGCAGAGATGCCCATGCTATGAGAATACCTCTTGGCCTAGGGGCCTCCAGTCCAATAGCTCCCCAGGTCTGGGACCTCCCATCCTACCTCGGCCAGTGGTGTGGTCATACCCAGGACCATGGCTCTGGACTCGGTGCCAGTGTGCGTCCGTGAAATGGCCTGTATACCAGCTACATGTATCTCGTTCAAAGTTACAGGAGACCTCTGGAGGGTTGGGGGGGCGGAGAGGTCAGCACTCCAGCCCCTCCCCTCTCCTTCTGCACCTGAGAAGGTGCAGGCTTAAGGGGTTCCTCAAGTTGGCCCAGCCCCCCAGGGGGGTGGGAGGGACCTCTGTCTCTCTCGGTGGTCTCCGTGGGGCTGCAGTTCCTCAAGGTCACGTTGTCCACCCCAGCCCCCTGTTGGCCAGGGCCATCCAAATCCAGCAGGCCAATGAACTCCAGCTTTGTTGGGGAGAGAATGAGGGAGAAATCTGTTAAGTCAGGGCAAGCCCCAGCATATCCCCGTCCAGGACTGCCATTCTTACTCGGAAGGGCCTGCGGCGTGCCCCCAGAAGGGTTTTGTCCACCTTCCAGCCTCCGGTGCTACTGCTTGGGGCCTGCCACACAAGCTCCCGGGAGCTGCCATCCACCACAACCAATGCTAGGAAACCTGGCCAGAGGGGTCCCCATGGATTGGCCAGCCTTGGATCCTTTCCATGTGCAGGAGCCCCAGGGGGCTGGTTAGGGAGCCAGGAGGTGGCCTACCTCGGGGCTGGCTCAGGAAGTAGTAAGCCAGGTGGAGCTCACAGCGGGGACCAGAGGGGCCCAGGGCAGGACTGAGGACCCGAGCCTCAGGCCTCAGCTGCCCCCAGGCCTTCTGCAGAGATAGGAAGTGCCCTAAGGGCAAAGCAAGGCCCTCAAATCCTGATTCCTTCCAGGGCACCCTCTGTCCCTCAGAGGCCCTGATCCAGAGGCACCCCCTAGTTAAGCAGCAGGGCAGAGACCCCTCCCTCCAGGTTTGCCACTTATGGGAGGGTTTTGGCTGCTCTTGTGAGGACTTGGTCTTACCGGTAGCAGCTCTCTGGGCAGACAGCTGCCACTGCAGCCGTCCCACGCTGGCATCCTCCCAGCCCCCGGCTGTGGGGGATTCAAAATCTGTGGTTCCTGGAAGAGCAGTAGGCACTGAAAGGCCAGGAACCCAGCCTGCCCCAGCACCCCGCCTTCCCCATCCTGCAGTGGGGAAGGTCTGCAGGACCCCACTGTCCCTTTACCACACTCCTGCTCATCCTCAGCCCCTGTACACTGCTGTTGGAAGTCACACAGCTGCTCTGGGGGCACACACAGATCCCCACAGGAGAGATGCCCTGGACTGCAGACATTCTGGAACCACGGGCCAGAGGGTGGGCTCTCAGGGGCTGGGGCCCAGGGTGTAGGAGGCAGCATCTGCAGGGCTGCCAGTTCTGTGGGGCAGAACTGGGATCAGGTGGTATGGTGGCTTTGCTTTTTCTCCTGGGCAGAAAAGGCCAGGGGGCTCAGGCAGGTTCACCTGGGACCAGTTGACAGTGGTTGGATAGGATGAGGTCGTCCAGGCCCACTACACCTCCTGGTCCCGTCTGTGCAGCCAGGAGGATCTGAAGGCAGAGAAGGCTCAGGGGGTACCCCACTACTCCAGCACCCCTCTGTCCTCTCTGGGGTCTGCTGCCTGGGGACCTTCTCTGGTCCACACAGAGTTGATTTTTTTGTGGGCTCCCTGACCATTAACCTCCTGTCCCCACCACACAGGTTGGCCTCACCTGAAAAGGGTGGGCACTCTGGATGTCAACGCGGTCTCGGACCCAGGCAGCCCCCAGCTCCCCACAGCGGCTCTGCAGCAGCACAGGGGCTGGGGAGCTGCTAGGCAGGAGAGTTTGCAGGAACAGCCGGAGGCAGCTGGCCTCAGATCCATGCAGGTAGTGATAGAAGACCAACTGAGGAGCAACCAATTGCTGGTCAGGGGCTCATGTACCTGGCATTCAGGATGGGAGACCCAGTGCACCCCACCTATCTCACCGAGCAGTTGTAGGGGCCTGAGGCCTGCAACTTGGGGCTGAAGAGGGCAGCAGGCCTGCTGGGCTCAGCCAGGGAGACCAGGAATGAGCCTAGGGAGAGGGCAAGTTTGGGCCAGGGCTGACAGGTAGTAGGCAAGTGGACAGGACTGGAGTTGGGACCTCTGTGGCCTCACCTCTCACACTGTTTTGGCTATGGTCTCGGTGTGGCCAGGCAGGGTGCTCAGGGCTGGCATTGCTGTGGTTCCTGACCCAGCCCTCCAAGTGGTTCCATGGGCCCAGGCCTGTCTCAAAGTTGGTGACCATGTGGTGGCCTAGGGTGGGAAGCAGAGCTGCCCAAGCCACCCAGCAGGGCCTCTACAGCCTATGGCCCAGCTTAGGGGACCCTGGCTGCCACACCCCAGAATAAGCACACACAGGACACCCTCTAGGATGTGTCCCTGCCAAGAGGCCAGATCCCCTGTTTTACCGCAGGTGAGTGGGTCCTCGTCAGACAGATCCCCACAGCTGTCTTCCCCGTCACACAGCTGGTGGGGCTCTATGCAGGCCTTGTTCTGGCAGTGGTGGTGCCCTGGGGGGCAGCTGGCCTGGGGGGCTAGGGTGTGGGAGGGTTAGCCCTTCAGCCTGGTCCTAAGGCCTGTGGGGCTAGGGGCAAGGCCCCTGTGAGGCCACGGCCCTCCCATGGCCCTCCTGGGTGGGTTGGTGGCATGGTCCTTACTGGGAAGCCCACAGCCCCAGAACTCAATGTCGTCCAAGCCCACAGTGCCCCTGTGGGTGGCATTTCGGGTGGCAGAGAAGGTCACCTGAAGAAAGCAGGTGTCCTTAGGCCCTGCATCAGGGCCCAGGGTCCCACTTCTCTCCCTTCCCCACCCAGAACCCCAGCTCACTCGGAAGTCACCCCGGATGCGGCCAATGGTCACTGCCAGCTCCTGCCAGCCAGGGCCCCAGGGTCCTGAGCTCCACCATAGTGTGAGTGTCTCCGTGTTATGGGTCAGCTGCAGGCTCAGCTCAGCCACGTCTGCAGCATGGGAGGCCTGGGCAGCTGCAGCCCCACTCCTGCCCACCATGGCTGCCCACTCCCTCCCCTCGGATATCCCACCCATGGATCCTAGGGTCTAGGCCACACCTCCAGATGCCACGTGGTACCAGAGCCTCAGCTCACAGGTGGGGGCTGCCTCTCGCAGAGTAGGGGAACGCAGGACAGCAGTGGACACCTCCTTTCCTCGGTGTGTCCCAACAGCCATATGCCAGCCTGGCCCATGTGAGAGGTTAGGAGATGGGGCAGGCAACAGGGAGGTAAAGGCGAGGAAGTGGGCATATGTGAATTCCCCCTCATCTCACCCAAGTCAGTGCCTAGAGTGTGGTCTGAGTGAGGCCCAGGACCCTCCAAAGTGGCCCCTGCCCGGTCTCGGATCCAGCTGTAGCCCGAAGTACTGATATCCTGCCAGCCGCAGGGGTCCTGCTCAAAGTCGCAGGAGAATGGGGTGCCCAAGGCAGGTGAGGCCCCATGGTGACCTGGGAAAATGTGGGGTCAGGGTGCTGCCCTCAAGCCTGCCCTGCCACCCCTCCTGACCTCCTGCTCACCACACTGTTCTTCATCTGAGCAGCTGCTGCAGTCACACAGGAAGTTGCACACAGCCTCGCTGGGAGGCCTGCAGTGGCTGGGGACCCAGGCCCAGCCCAGTGCCCCTGCTGCAGGCAGAGAGACAGCCAAGTGGCCTGGGGGCAAGTAATCAGCCATCCCCTTTTACCCAGGACTGTCCAGTTTTAGCCCCAACTTAGGGCTCAGGCCCAGGACATGAGACAGGGAGAGTGTTGGGCCCCACAGAGAGCTGCCATCCGGGGTCCATGTTGGGATTGAGCAGGGACATCTCTGGGTTCCTATTCTGAAGAAACTGCACAAAGGGATGGGGAGAGTGCTGTGGGCATGCAGGGGACCAAGACCCTGATGGGGCTCCCAGCAAGGAAGTGGAGGGGCTGCCAGGATGGTGCCCCCAAAGGGATGCATCAAGGGGGATCCAGGGACCCCCCTGGGCTCCACCCAGTTCAAGGGTGGCAGATAGGCTCTGGGGACCTGGACCATCCCCAGGACCCAATAGCTTGTCCTGTGTCCCCCCAGGTCTTCCTATGTAGGCCATCTAGGGCAGTGCTTGCACCCCCTCCTTCCTCAGGGGCTCAGGCATCAGCTCCAGTGTCTACTACCACCATCCAGAAGTAGGCTGAGAACCCAGAGCCCGAATCCTACTATAGGAGTAGAGGACTCACCTATAAGCAGGAGCAGGCTGGGCAGGAGGTAGCCAAGAAGTCTCATGGTCAGGCCAGAGGGAACGAGGCCAGGAGTTGTGAAGCTGGGCAGCTCGGTGGGGACTTTGTCCAGTTATCAGTCTGCAGTGGCCCCACAGGCGCTCCAGCTTTAACTGGAGGGGCACAGCCCCTTCTGAACCTGTGGCCCCTCAGCCTGGCCCCACCCAATGCTGATGGCATCACATATCTGGCTGTAAATGTGTCTTGGGTGGACCCTGGTCCAGGGTCAGCTCCCACCTGTCCAGCTCCTGCAGACTGAAGGTCAGACACCAGCCATCTTGTTCACCCACCCTGCTCTGCTGGGTGGAGGCTCCCACTGGAAGAGGGAGGGGCCCAGGCCTGTTTTCCCCCAGAAGGACTTTGTGTGGCAGTGTGGGGGTAGCAACGACTGTCATGGTCTCACTGAGCCTCTGGCCCCACCACAGGGCTAGCCAAGGAGGTGGAGACTCAACCTATCCTGGCAGCAGCAAGCAGGAGCCCAGTGTGTGTGCTGTGAGCCTGTCCTGCCTGTCACACAGGCTGGGGATATCACCCCAGCACAGGTTCATCCTTCTGCAACTATCCTGAGAAGGCAGGTGCTCAGTGGTACCAGGCACAGGGACCCTGTGAACCCAGAAACTTCTGGTCCTCATGGAAAAGAGGATTGGGTGGGGGTACTTCAAGGCTTCAAGGGGTGTGGCATTTGGAGCCAGGGTCTGCCTGTGACTTGCCACTGTGTGCCCTAGGAAACTTGTCTTGGCCAAGCTGCTTTTCTGGTCTGTGGAAATAGCGCCTGCCAGGAGAGGCTGCCTGGAGGACTCAGTAGGGTGACAAAGGCCCACACAATGCTGGCAAAGGGCACCCATGTAGACAAATGTGTCTCAGCCTCCAGCTGTCCTGTAGCACCCCACCCTGCCATCACTGTCCACCAGTTACTGTGTGTGGGATCCCTAAGGTAGAGCTCACACCCTACACATGGCCCAGCCTGGAAAGTGGTTACTGGTGTCCACTTCTCTCTGCAGGAAACCCTGGGATGGGCTCAAGGAAAGGGGCCCCAGGCCTCAGCTGGCCCAAGAGACCAAACACTGACTCCTTGTGCAAGGGCTTGTCAGGCCTCCTCCCAGATGTCCTTGGGTACAGCAGGTGAGTAAAGGTGCCATCAGGCCATAAACAGGGTTGTGGCCCCTTTATCAGACCCCAAAGGGCTGAGTGTGCACTGCCACTCCTGGGGACCTGCTGCTCCTGTGCTCTCTTACCCACCCGCTTCAATTGAGGCACTGGACAGCCCTGCCCAGATAGGGACCCACAGCAGGAAAGCCATGACACAAGAGTCTGGGGACTGGCAGGCACAACAAAGCTTTTAATGTACAGGGGCCAGGCTGGTCTGTGGTGGGATGGCATATTACCAGGGATACAGAAGGGAAGGGCAAGGCCAACCCCCGGCAAGAGCAGAGTTCTGACTTGGCTGCTGGAGGTAGCAGGTCTTGGGCTGGGGGCCTCAGTAGCCATCATCAGCCCAGGTGACTTCATAGTCAGGGTACTTGGCTTTGATCTTCTCAGTTGAGACAGAGTGCTGGGCACGACCGTAGCCCTGGAGAGAGATGGTTATTAGCATTGCCCCCTGGAGAGAGATGTTTATTAGCATTGCCAGGGCCCTTTGACTCCTGCTCCGATGCTGGGTATCCAATGAGTGGTTAACCCAAGAGCATGTTGGGGAAGGGACAAACAGAACCTGCGTAAACCCCAGGGTAGGGCCAAAGCAACTGTCCTGATGCCCTGGGAGAGCTCTCTCATGGAGAGGTGGCATGCACAGGTGAGCAGACCTATGTGTTGGGTCCTCTGGCCTAAGGTAGGGGCCTGTGTGAGGGCCAGTGTATATTTACTGGGGCCTTTTGTGAAGAGACAGTGTGGGGACTTTGAACTGGACCCTGAGGACAGGAGAGCCTGGCCAGGCCTCCTGTGCTTCCTGCCCCTGGTGGCACATGGTGTGTGGGACAGCATGGGGCCCTGGAGGGAAGCGTCTATCACTGAGACTGGGGCAACTCTGGAACCCCAGTCTCAGTGCAGGATGTGGTCAGGGCTGACGGGGCTGCAGGCTCACCATGGAGTAGCCATACACATGGATCTTCTTGTCCTGGCTCTGGTGAGAGATGCGCCCTCCGCCCAGACACTCACAGTCGTAGCCCTGCTTCTGCATCTCACCGGACACTTTGTCGTATATGTCCGCTGGGATGAGACGGCAGCCTCAGGACGCGCGCCCTAGCGGCCCTTGGAGGCCGTGGGATGATCTCAACCCATGAAGAAATCTGAAGTCCCATCCCTTCCCCAGTGGAGACGAACGCCTCCCAGGCTGGGGCAGTATTAAGGTGAGAAAACGGAGATGCCCTGCCCGCGCGGGGACTAGGGGCCATGCCCCTTCCACCAGTCAACTTAGCTAGGCTAGCCCAGGAACGGGATCTGAGCCGTAGGCGAGCTCTGCAACAGAACATGGGCCGCGCCCCGCCCCGGGCCGCGCCCCGTCTCGCCCGGCCCCGCCCCGTCTCGCCCGGCCCCGCCCTCACCGTGGTACTCTGCCCACTTGTAGCCGCGCACGATCTCCTTGGTTTCCGCAGCTGGGGCACCGGAGGGAGGTGCCGAGTGGACTCGAATCAGCACGTACTTAAAGACGCCGTCGGAGTCGATGTCTACATCAGGAATCTGAGCGAGGCTCGCTGTCGCCATGTTCCTGGAAGCGCTCACGGACCCGAGGTCCCGGCGGCCCCTCCCCCCGACCAGGGCTGCTGGGCGGGAGGCGGGCCCTGGAGAGATGCAGCCAATCCCGTGGGGGCATGCTGCCGGAGGCCCGGCGCTTTAGCCAATTGTGCCGCTTCCCGGGGCACGAGCTAGCCAATCGCAATCTGTCTCCTTGCGGCCTCGTTTAAAGGGAATGTGGAGCAGGAAATGATTAAATCCAGCCGACGGGAGAGTTTCTGTGCCGCCGTGGGGTGACAGGCACCTTGGGAACCAGCCAGTTAGATGGCCCGTCAGGCTAGGGGAGGACTTGCTCCTCCGTGCTCCGTCCGAAGCCTCCCTCCTCTCAGCCACCCCCACCACCCGAGTGTACCCTCCCCTGGCCCCGTCGCCCGGGGGCCTCCTTCCTTATCCCTGCAATCCGAAGCCGCTCTCCCCTGCCCCAGCCTTTCTAAGGTCCCCCTCCTTCCCTGCCCGTGCCGAGTCCTCTCGCTCCGCCGTCCTAAAGACTCCTTCCCAACCCCTCCCCTAGCACAAGAAGGCGGCAGCAGCTACATTCAAGTTCTATTTTACTTGGTTCGCCCGCTGACAAAAATTCCTGTCCAGGGGCGTTCCAGGCCGGCTTTTAGGCGTGGGGCCGAATGCGGAGGCCCTGGGGTGCGGAGCGCGCCGGCCAGACTCGGAGCGCGGCGAACGAGGGTGGTACAAGCGGGAGGCCAGGCCCGTGCAGGCGCAGGCGTGGCGGGGTGAGAGCAGAGGGCGGTAGCAGGGTTCATAATTTCTCTGATTTGACGCTCCCTCCTGGCTCCGAAGGAAGGCTAGGGAGGGCCTTTGTGCAGCGCCTGGACTTGTCCCCCAACCCTGTCCCTTCACGACTCTCCAGCGATCCCCGGTCGCGGACCAGGGTGCACCTACAAGCCCGCAGGCACTGCGAAGGGACCTCCATGCAATCAAAGAACCTGAGTTTCGGTATGGATCATGACCCTCTTGGATAGGCTTTTGCGCTGAGCCACTAACTCGCTCCCACGTCTGCTGCCAGCACCAGCCGGGAGTGCTCCCTGTTCCTTGGCCTTTCCTACTCCAGCGGGTAGGCGCCCCTTCCTGTAAGGTCTCCGCGGTCCACAGCCCGCTGGCCCACTCTGCACCTGTTTCCCGCCTCCCTGTGGCGTTAGGGCCTGCGGCGGGTCATTTGCATTCCCGCCACGCTCTGGCAACCTCCTAGGGCCACCCTGTGGGGTGTGGCCGGACACCCCACCTTTGGCACAGCCAGGCCTAGCCAGCACCCCTAGTCATAGGCTCTGCTTCCTCTGCCCAGGTTCTCCGCCCCTCTGGCCTCTGAGTATCCCTTCCTGGTTTCCCTAACCTCTCCTGCAGGTCCCACAAACCGGGGCGGCTGGTGGCACTGTCAGCATGCGGGATTGGACCAGCAGAAACACCCCTGTACAAAGCCAGCCTGCTCACCACCTCTCTGGGACACACTCGTGGGTTTCTCGCTCAGGACACACACTCATGGAGGCCGACCAGGGTGTTCTCCAGAGAAGAAGGGCCTCTGAGCAGGAGGCACCTCCGACAGATCACAGAGGCGGCAGAGTTGGGGACAAGTCGAGGATTTGGTTAAAGCGGGCTTCTGGACTCAGGTTAACTGGTTGAAGAAGCTCCAGTGAGACCTTCGCGGGACCCGATTTGTGCCTTTGGGGACTGTGCAGTAGTGACCCCTTTGCGTGAAGGCAGAGTTGTGTGGTCCTCAGGCCCACCCCACCTCCCGGCGGGGAGCACCGAGGGCGAGGACCGGCCTCTGGAGGTCCCCAGGAGGAGTCCGGGAAACAAAGAGTTGTTGGGGATGGGGAAGGGCAGAGAGGGTCATGTAGAGAATACCCTGGGATGGATTCGGGTGAGGGACAGTGCTGAAAGGGCCCGAATAGAGCTTGGGGAGAGCAGAGGTTGGAAGAATTTGAGAAGGGGCTTAGGCGAAGCGGGGGCGTTGCTCCGGAGACTGGGTCTGGTCGGCCCAGCGGCTCACATGATGTCGTCCAGCAGGTTGGCGCTGGCCACCCAGTCGAGCGCGCGCGGCTCAGAGGCGGCCATGATCATGCACATGAAGGGGCGGCCGGTGCGCCGGTCTGTGGGGTAGATGGTGGTGGGCGTGAAGCGCCGGTTGGCTTCGACGAACTCGCACAGCTGTTCATAGACGCGCGGGAACTCGTGGCGCAGGAAGACACCGCGCAACCGCAGCTCGCGCTGGATGTGGATGAACGCCACCTCGCGTGCGCGCCGGCCCGCCTCGCCTTCCTGGTCCAGGCCAGCCGTGCCAGGCGGCGGCGTCAGTATCAGCGTCTCCATGTCAGGCTCCCGGCCTCGTGCCGGGGGCGGACGTGCCGGGCTGCCGGCCGCCAGTGCCACCTTGGCGAACTTGCGCACCGTGGGCCCGGGGCTGCGCGGCGCGGGTGCAGGCCGGGCAGGGGTCCCCGAAGGCGCAGCGCCGGGGCCCACGGCCACCGACACGCTCAGCAGGAAGCATTCGGCCGGCTCGTAGAGGCGCCCAGCGGCCGCCAACTCTCGGGCGTAGCTGCCCAGGGGGGCCGCATGTGTGGCCAGCTCGCGTAGCGACAGGTAAGTAGGCGACAGCAACAGCCCCTCGAGGCCAAAGCGCAGGAAGTTGTCTGCCGAGCCCGGGCTCGGAAAGCCCAGAAAGAGTACTCCACGGCCGCGCGACAGGAAGCCGACACGCGCAATGCGCGAGAAGGCGCGGTGCACTGGGCCGCTGTCGCGGCAGAACTGTAGCACGTGGCGGCATACGCTGCCGACGCGGCCATACACGCAGTGCGCCTTGTGCGCGTCCCAGTCCTCGCGGCGGCACAGGCGCGAGCAGTAGTAAGTGTAGCAGCTGTGGCAGGACTTGAAGTAGAGGCAGGCATTGAACATGGTCTCAGTGCGCCGACAGCGCGCATTGGAGCAGGTCATCAGGTCGTCCTCGTCTGCGCTGGGCTCCGGTGAAGCGTCAGCTGCCTCCCCAGAGCCCGCAGGCTCCTCTGCGCTGCCAGCCGAGGCGGGGGGCGAGCGCGGCGGCGCCAACGAAGGGGCCCTGGGCCCTGAGGGCCGCGAGTCCAGAAGGCGGCGAAGTTGGTGGCCCAGGCCGTCGGCCGCAGACTCCGGGGCCTGGCCGGCGGGGGGTCTAGAGTCGATGACCAGGTCCGTGATGAGTTCATCCAACTGCTCCAGGCTGCGCTGGCGGCCTGAGGTGGGGCCATCGTGGGCAGCGGGCGGATGCTGCCGCGGACGGCTCCCTGGCGGCTCCCAGCTGCTGGCGGTGGGGCGCTCAGCGGCCCGCAGATCGTTGTCGGTGATGGTGATCTCGGGCGTGACGTACCAGTTACGGCCCAGGCCCTCACCACCGCGGCCTTTTTCCGACAGCGACGTCTCGGACAGGGACAGTGCAGCATAGCGCCTGGGCGAGGTGGACAGATTGACGACAACAGGTGGGCGCCGGCCTTCCGGGGACGTGCTGCGCAGCTCCTGCACCTCGCGCCCCAGCAGGTTCTCATAGCTGCGTCCGCGGCCCAGGGGGTCTTCCCGGCGGGGCCCAGGGGCCAGAATGTTATCCCAAGAGCGGGAGTAATGGCGGCTGTCGCTGGCCAGCCGGGGAGGGCTGGTACCGGTGCCCCCGTGCCACGAGGCGAGCAACGGGCCGGGGTCGTGGGGAGGCGCCACCTGCAGGGTGCGGTAAGGCCGCGGGCCCCAGTCAGCCCAAGACGGGCTGCTGCGCGGGTATGGGTAAGTCCGAGCTAGGGCCTCGCGCTCGCGGTAGTACCGCCCTAAGTCCTCTGTATAAAAGGGTCGGGCGGTGGGGTGGGCCCGGGTCTCCTCGGGGGCATAGCGGGGCCCAAAAGGCAAGCCGTAGGCTCGGGGTGTCTCCCCGTAATAGGAGCGGGAGGGAGGTTCCTGGATAGGGAAGGTGCGTACTTCTCCTGCATAATAGCCACCCCCACGTCTTGGATTCGGCCCCAAGACATCCTCGGACCGATAGGGCCTGGGGCAGTAGCCGTCGAAGGGAGGGCCCGGGCTGGTTGTAAAGCCACCTGGGTAACCCTCAGGATCCTCCGTATAGAAGAATTGGGAGGGGCCTGGAGGGGCAGTGAAGGTCAGAGTGCGGCGCTCCGTGTATTCCCGGGGCCCAGGCAGAGGACCGTCGCAGTACAGCGCCCGGGCATCCGCACAGTATGAGTCGCTGGGAGTAGGGGTGCGGGAGAGCGCCATGCGGCGGGGCCCGGGCACGGTGAGGCCGTGGAATTGCGGGGCAGCGCGAGCCCAGGGCGCCGCTTCCGTGGGTCCGCAGGGCCGCGAGCCCCGGGCAGCGTGCTGTAGCACTGCGTCGTCGGGTTTGATGTCCAGGCGGCAGCGGACGTGGGGGGCGGGTCCCGGTGGGGGTTCGGGTGGCGCGCAGCGGCCAGTGGATGCGCACAGTGGCGCGATGCGGCCGGTGCCGCCGCGCTGTGGCTGTAGCTTGATAGGGTGTAGTTCATTGGCGAGCGCGCGCAGCGCGGGGTACGCGGGCTCCCGGTGCGGAGAAGCCTCGGACCTTGTTTCGCGCTGGGCCTCCCGGCCTCGGCGCGGCAGCACCGGCGATGAGGCGGGAGCGGGCGTCAGGCCTGGAGGGGCGCGCGGCGCGCTCTTGGAGCGGGCGCGGCGCCGGGGCTCGCCGTCGCGGGACCGTGCGCGCGGCGCGGCGGTCTCCGCCGGCGGCGGCTCCGGGCGCGCCTCCATGGCAGGTCCGTCCAGCGCCTCAAGAAAGTCGAAGCTACGGCAGTGGCGCTTGTTGAAAGGTGCGGGCACAGCGGGCCGGGCCATGGATCGCTCACATGGCTGGCGCCTGGATATGGGCCCCGGGGCCGCCACCTTGATGTCCTGGTACACGGTAGACACCAGCAAATCCGGCGGGTCCGTGCGGGTCATCTTAAAAGAGGTCCCCAGGCTGGCGGCTCCAGCTCACTCGACCTTGCGGGGCTTTTGCCCTGGGGGGAGACGTGGGTCAGGGCGGCCCCCTCCGCAGCCCAGGCCCCGCTACTCCCTCGCGCTGGGCCGGCTTACCTGGGGCGCAGCGGGCGGAGCTGCCCTGGCTGCCGGCCTTGGCCAGGCCCTCGGGCGCCTGCTCCATGTTGGCGTCGTGGGGGGGAGCACCTGCAGGGGGAACCCAGCAGTCCAGCCGCCCAGGTCCTGCCTCTCCCCCACCCTCCCTTGGGAGGCGGCCGGTGGGCAGAGAAGGCTTAGCTAAGCTGGCGTTCCCGCATTGTTACCCTACTTCAGTTTCTGCGCTGAGGCTCCCAGGTCTCTCCTCCCCCACTAGTGACCGTGGTCCCGCTCGGTTAGACCCCCTTTCTGGGGCAGGCAGAACGAGTGGGGCAGGAGAGTGGGGTCCTAGCACTAAACCCTCTGCTGTCCGCTACTGGAATAAAGGAGACTCGCTTGGGCCACATTCAGGTGCTTAAACTTAAGTGGGGGCTCTAAACGTGGCAGTGACTGTGGTCCCTTCCTACCCTCCCCCCCAACCCTCCCCGTGCCCTCTGTAGAGCGAGCCCTCTGAGAATGCATAGTCCCAGGGCGAGTCCCTAGGTCCTAGCCAGCTCTGTACAAAGTGGTTGCCACCAGCCATCCCACCTGCTGGCCAGGCTGACCACAGAGCCTGTCTCCCTGCTCTGTGAGGGTCCTCACACTCAGGAGAGTATGCTGCACCCAACCAAGCCCAACTGTCCTCAACCACTGGTATGGCCCAGGCTAGGAGAATGCACCCAGACAGCATACCTGGGCCCTAAAGCTACCTTTTCTTTTTTTAGATACCTCCTGTAACCCCAGCAATCTTGGGTGCTTTGAGACAGCCCCACAGAACACTTTCCCCCAGCTTTGCACAAATATACAGGACACACCCCAACCCCCAGCATGTGCACGCGGCCTGGAAGGCTGGTGGCGTGTGAGCCATGAGCTCATGGTGGCCCCCTTCCCCTGAGCCATGAAACAGGCCAGGAAGCTGGGGGAGGGGGGACACATCCCCTCACCCCTGCTTACCAGGAGAGGGCCCTCCCTCCTCTGGCTGTGGAAGGCTCCATGGTTTTTCAGCCCCCATGTTGCCAAGGGGGGCTAGGGTTCAGATGTGGACCACTGAGATGTCTGTGGTCCCCAGGGCGTGGGTCTGACTGTGGTGGTGGCAGCAGGCCACAGGCTTGCTGCACTTGGCACCTGGTGTGGAGGTATCTGCCCCAGGTTAAGCTGGGAACAAGAAGGGGATTGGCTGACCCCTCACCTGGCAGGACCCCTGGTTGATGGGGCTCTGGGGGTTTCTTGGGGTGGGTCAACCTTCTGTGTCCCAGGTGTACAAGGGGCTTCCTAAAGGGTTGCCTTTCTGGGTCAGGGCACTAAATTCTAGTCCTTGTCCCCACCCCAGCCTCAGCCCCACTCGTTTCTTCCCCGATGTCAGGACCATCCACCGGCCGGCTCCTCCTCCCACCCTAAGCTCAAGGCCAGGCCAGAGTAAGGCTCCACCCCATGGAGATGACAGCAACCTTGCTGTCAGCGACATCTTTCTCCCGTGGGGATAGGGATGGGGCCGGATCTTCTGGGGTCCTTAGGTCTTCTGGAGCCCACGTGGGTGGCCAGGGCACCCCCACCCAGCCCTGGCCTGGATGGGCCCTTCCAGGGACCTGCTGTGCCGCCTGGGGGCGGGGAGTCCTCATCCTTTCCAGCGACCTTAAGGCAGCCCACGGCAGCGACACCCTGGACAGCTTTGCTCTCACCCCTTACCTGGGTGCTGCTCTGCGGCCTGTGCCTGGTGGGCTGTGTCACCCCCAGGCTGGCTCCCGAGTCCCGGCTTGCTGCGTCCCCGGCACCAGCAGAAGCTTCGAGGCAGCGGCGCTGGCCTGGAGGCTCGGTGCTGCCCCCAGTGGCCGCCAGGGGAGCCACACTTAAAGGGGCCGCACCCTGTGGGGGCTTCAGTGCCGCCAGGACTGTGGTTTGCACTGGCTCAGATTTGGTGCTGTGTGAAGTGTGGGGGTCTCCGCATCATCTCCTAACACAGGTCTCAAAGCAGGAAACTCGTCCACACGAGCAGCTGGCCTGTCCACCAGCCCTACCCCCAGGACACCCGCCTGGGCAGCTGGTGGCTTAGCAGAGGCTTGCCTTAGGCTGCTGGGAGGGGTTTGGGCTCAGGCAGGAACAGATGGGCCACTCCCTGCCCCACTGGTCTTGCTTCAGGCCCTGCCCACCTCCATGCCAGAGATGCCAAAATCGCGGCAGGTAACTGGGCCAGATGGCCAGCCCGGCCCCCAGTGGGTCCTACAGACTCATGTGTCCACAGGATGCCAGGTTCTCCTAGGCAAGGCCAGCATGAGCTGTCACATGGCCATTCATAACCTGTCCAGAGATATTCTTGCTCCAGCCCTACTAGCCTCCTCCCCAAGGTGCTGAGCCCTGGTACAACTTAGCTTGGTGGAGGAGGTGGGTCCCAAATGCCCTTGCTCTGAAGGGTGGGGCCTGCCCATTTTGTCCATTTCTTTGCAGGGTCCTTTGAGACCTTGCTGCTTCCTGTGTGGTGCTGGGCAAGTTCCCTTTCTCTTGATCCATCCCAAGATGGTCCTGCCTTCCACCCTGTATGTTAAAGGGTCTCCCCCACCCACCCTGCCCCTGCTCAGGGAGCCCTGCCTGTCCAGAGCTCCAGAACACAGAGCTGCCCACATGCAGGAACCCAGAGGGAGACTCAGGTGGGGTTGAGTGGGCAGGAGTCCCAGCAGTGACCTCTCCCACCCCTGCCGTGAGGCAACAGTGGCTGGGGGTATGGAGGCTGGGCTGAGCACTGGAAACAGCTGGAGGAGACTCAGGCCTCAAAAGGGTAGGGACAGATGTATATACAGCTGCCTGTCGGACTCCCAGGGTATGGCCATGCTGGTCCACCCTGGAAGCACCTAGTGCACATGGCCAGGCTGGCGGTTGTCCAAGCTGGGGGAGGAACATCCTCACAATCATCCTGTACCTCCTGTCCCAGATGCAAGTGCCCTTGGGGAATAAGGGCTCTGGCCTGAAGGGAAGACACTCAGGCAACCTGGGCAAAAGGGGACAGTGGCTGGTGCCTTCAGGTGGCTGTGGGAGCAGGCGCAGGGGGAGGAACACACAAACACACACACACAACAGTGAGACAGGAGAGCTTTATGGTCTGGGTGGAGTGTCTGTGGAGCCCCAATCCTGCCTGTGGGCTCACCCAAGGGTGGGGCGCAGTGGGAACTGACCCTGGAGGCCCCTTCCCAGGAGAGGCCTCTGGTGCTGCTTGCCTCCCTTAACCAACCTGTCACACCCTCCCTTGAGGCTGTGCACCTGTGCTCAGGGCTGGGCCCTGGGGGCATGTGGGGCTGTCCACAGCCCTAGCCTGGTGGTTGGAAGCGGGTGTTGGCATGCTGAGGCCTGGGGTGAGCTCAGGAGGGCAAGCCAGGAGTGGGCTCTGGGTGGTGGACGCCCAAGGAGCTGAGCAGCCTGATGCCCTGCCTCTGTAAACAGACCCTGATGGGTCCCTCCTCTGCCTCAGTCAATTCCCTGAGAAACACTAGGGACTGGCTGTGGCTCTGCTCTGAGAGGGCCAGTCATTCACTGAAACTGGCTGAGCCCAGCTGTCCCCTCCCTCCCTGCAGGGTAGGCTTGTGCCTGGCACAGGGGCTGCTGACCACAAAGGCCTGGCACAGGCCTCTCCTGGCTGGCAGCAAGCATAGGGTACGTGGGCCAAAGTCCTAGAGTGCCTCATAGTCCCCACTCCCAGGGTGGTGGCCACCCAGAAAGGCCTCCAGCTCATCCTCAGCCTTCTTCTCCCTGCCATGTGGGGGCTTCCGCCTCCGCCTCCTCTCCTCCTTGCACTCCTCTTTGTCCTTGTCCTTGCTCTTCTTGTGTTTGCTCTTCTTCTTTGCAGCCTTTTCTTCCTCCTGGGGCACAAGAGGGGCCTAACCTGGAGACCAGATCCCTCTCCCAGGCCCTACCCCGTCCAGGCCCACTAGCCTGAGGGACACATACCTCCTTGCTTTTCTTCTTTTTCTTCCTCTTCTCCTTGGAGGAGGGCCTGCCTTCCTTGCCTGCATGGGTGACAACATGACTCAGTGCTCTGCCAGTGCCACCAACAGCCTGCCCACTAGTGTGCGAGGGGAGGGCACGGTGTGGGGCCAGCCAGCATGTCACCCCATCTCAGGGCAGGGATCCTATCTCCAGGCCACTGTCCCCTAACCTAGGTGAGAGCCAGCATAGGGCTTAGCTGGCCCTGGCCACTTCCCCCCAATAAACCTTTCCACTGAGAAGGTATGTAGACAGGTCTCTGATGGAGCCAGGCTGGCTAGGGCTACGGAGTCACAAGATATAGTGAATATGCTCCCAGCTGCCACAATAGCACTGCCCAGGCCAATGAACACCTCTGATGTGGACATCAAGTCACATCAAGACATCACCCCTCTTGTTTGGGATGGATCAATAGCTCAAATTCCTAGGCCCAGAGGGGTGATAGGACTGCTCCAGAAACCCAGAGATGATTTAGCCCTGGCTTTCCAGGAAGAACTTGTTGGCTGGACAGGGCTGTGGGCCACTTGGGTCTGGAGCACATTCTGGAAGCATGGTGTAGTCCATTGGACTCTGAAGGTGCCCATGGTCAATAGATGGGAAAAGGCCTCCAGACTGGGCTTTTCTTTTTTAAAGGGAGGTCCCTGGTCAAGGACCATGGGCTGAGGTTTTATCTGGGCTCCAGAAGGCCAAGTGTGCCTTTGGTGCCCACCCACCCTCATCACTGCTGTCCTTGGTGATGGCCTCTTCCAGCCCTAGCCCGAAGAGATCATCCTTGTTCTTCAGCCTGACAGCAGGGACGAGGGGTTTAGGAGGCAGGGGTGGCTGAGCAGGGCCCATGTCCTCCTCAGTAGCGTCAGAGAGGTCATCTCGCACAGGGAACTCTTCCTGGAGAGGGAGTGGCTGGTTAGGCCACAAATCCTCCCACCCCCACAGGGCCCTGAGGCTGTGGGACCCCCTAAACCCCCTAAACCCAACCCAGAGTCAGTGTCCAGTGAGGCCTCTGTGTGTGAGCTTCCTGCTCAGCTCCCAGCCCTGCTCAGGGCTGTCCCCTGGCCTCTTTTCAGAACCCACCTGGAAACCCCACACCCTCCTGGTCAGTGGCATGCTCACCCCCTTCCGCTGTGTGTCTGACTCTTCACTTTCAAAGTCGGGGTCATCCAGGACAAAGGACAACATCTGTGCGGCAATGGGCCCCTCAGGGTCACTCTCTGAGGAGGATGCCTTCTCGGCCTTGCCTTCCTCTGCCCCATGAGAGGAACCCTCAGCAGGGGGCCTGGTGCTGCTGTCCTTCTGAGGACCCATGTGCACAGAAGGACCTCCTGGCCAGGGGGGTACCTCAGCCTTTGTGGGAGCTGCCCCACTCTGTGGCCTCGAGGTCTTTGTGGACAACCTTCAGGAACAAGCAAAATGGTCAGCTGCCTGAAGCTATCTCCTGGCTGTACCCATGGGTACCCCGCCCATACCATTTTATCTCTGGCTCTGAGCACTGCTGGGGGACCAGGGTAGCTGCTCCTGGGAGGTCTGCAGCTTCTGCTTCCTCCTCGCTTGAGAGAGTGATGTTTTTACTGGGGACAGGGCCTGAGGCCACCAGGGGTCTGCCATGTAGCTGGTCTTCAAAGTCAACATCGTCCTGGAAGCCTGCTACCATAGGGTTCCCTGCCACAGCCTCCCCATCGCTGCAAAGGAGGGGCAAGGCTGTCAGAGGTCACCAGGTGGGTCCGGGAGACTGGACCCCTCTACTTCAATGCCGGACACCAGTATGCTCTAGCCTTGGGGTTGCTCAGCTTGGGGGCCATGTTCTGGTAGGGAGCCCTACTTCTCAGGCCCTCTTGGTGTTCTGAGCAGAGAGGGGCAAGGGAGGGCAGGAGACATGAGGCTGGAAAGTCCATGGTGTCCTGTGGCTAGAAGAGGGCCACCTGGGCTGTATCCTACCCTTTGTGCAGCTCAGGACAGGCTGAGGCAGGTGCCAGGGCTGCCTAAAGGGGTGGGTACACCTAGGCCTGAGTGCAGGGCTTTCTGTCTGTAGCCTGGCCCAGTCCACTGGAGGCTGCACCTTGTGGCCTGGCATTCTACACTGCCTGGTGGCCCACACGGCCTTCCCAATGCCCCCCACGTGGAGTTGGCCCAAGGCCACTCCCAGGACATTTGCAGGGCCTGGGCCTAGACCTGTCACTGTCCTGCCGCAGGGCCTTGGCTCCAGCTCTCTTCTCATCCTCGGAGGGGGCGGTGTCCTCCAGGAAGCTGCGGTCGAGGCGGTCATCAGGAACAAAGTCCTCCACGTTCTGGACCTCCACAGGAGTCTCTGCCATAGGGGCTGGCTCTGGCTCTGTGAATAGCAGGTGCTGTACCTGACCCCTCAGGTATCCCCCCCCCCCCAACCAGGGCTACCCTAGGGCTGTGCATTCAGGACTAGGACCCCAGGGTGGCATATGCCTCACCCAGGAGGAGGAAGAGGGTGCTTCCCAGAGACTCAAGGAGTACACCCCAGTCTGGGGGCACAGGACCCAGTGTGAAGCCATGAAAGGGAGCCTTGCAGAAACCCACCATGAAGGTGTCAGGGCCTACCTGGAGGGGAAGGGGCTGTAGGGGTGGCCGGCGAGGCCCCAAACAGCCGTGAGATGATGCTCCGCCGTGGGGGCTGGGCACTGGCCTCCAAGGGGGCCACAGGGGTTGGTGGCGGGGGGCAGGCTGACAAGACGTAGGGGGGCAGCTGTGGGGCAGGCTGGGGTGTGCTGGGGCTGGAGCTTCCTGTGGACATAGCACTCAGAGGCACAACTGGAGACTGGGAGCCTGAGGATGGGCTCTGCCCATTGGCTGCCAGTGGAGATGCATGGCCACGGCTGCGAGCCTCCATCATCTCAAGGAAGCTGGAGGGTGAAGGCAGAGAATGAGAAGCAGGCCTCCCCTGCCTCTTCCGCGGCCTTTCTTAGCACACTTGTTGATTGGTGGGAAACTCCCCCTAGTTCCCAATCCTAAATGAATGGTCCTAAGGGCAAGAGATAGCAAGTGTGATGGAGACAGGTGACCAGCTGGGTGTCTGGCTCCCCTTAAGAGTTACTCTTAGGTCTCCTTGTTCTGAGGCACAGCTGTCAGAGACTCCAAGCAGAATGCTGCCATGTGGTAACAGGCGAACCTCTCTGCTGCCTCTGCAAGGTTTCTAGGAAAAAGAGAGGCTGGGGCTTGGTAGACACATGCCAGATGCCGGCACTGCTGGCCTGAGAGGTGGGCTCTGTTCCTGGCCTGTCCCAGGATGCTGGTGCATCACAGCAGGAAACACCAGGACGAGTTCCCCAGAGAAGTACCTGAGTACCAGCTCCCTTTGGGGCTGCTCTCCTAGCACCCAGCTGTCTTGCTGGCTGTCATTCCTGTGCCCACAAGCAAAAGCCTTCTGGGGGACAGGCCTGCTGGGGGGCGTTAGGAGCATCAACCTGGCCACTGGAACATCGCCCTAGCTTGTGGTGCACAGCCTTTCCGACTCTTCCCCCCAAATCCCCAAAGTTAGGTTCACTCTGAGCAGCTCAGTATTGCAACTCCCCTTGGAGAGTAGGTGCCACTCTAACAGACCAGGAGGGCAGATGAGAGTGAAGGCTGCCCAGAGCTGAGGGCAGAGAATGGGGCCACCAGCCACAGCCTACAAGCTCCATGCTGCCCCAACAACTCAGGAAGATGCTAGGAACAGGCCCTGCTTAGGACAGGGGCCCCACTGTGCTGTCCATGTACCTCTTTAGTACAAAGTCTGTCTAGTGCAGAAGGCCTCCAAAACCCTGCCCCACACAGGTGTCACTCTCTAAAATGGACACCTTGGTAAGGTGACCACAGCCAGAATACATCAGGGCCAGCCAGGCTGGCCACTGTGTCAATAGTGCCAGGTACCACATACTGTGGACCAGCAAGTGTGGCCTGTTCCACACAAGGAAAGCTGAGACGTAGTTCCACACAAACCATAGCCCAGCTACATGCTGGCTGGCCAATGGTGCAGTGCTGGGGAGCCCTGCCAGGCCAGTTAAAGACCTGGGCACACCTGGGCCTGAGGCCTTACCCTCAGAGAGTGTCTGTTTCCACTGTCCCCAGGAACTACCAAAGCAGGTGTGATCCTGTCCCCAAGGTAAACCTAGCTCCAATTAAAACGTCAACCTATTTGCTCTAAATAGCAATTATTACTCTAAATGTTTTACTATTGCACATATGTAATAAAACCCCAGAACCTAAGAAGAAGAAAAGGTGTGGGCCACATTTGTGCTGTAAGGTGCAGGGCACCTGCTAACTGCTCCCCAACACGCATTGAGGCCATCTGCTGATACTAGGATATGGGCTGGGGTGCAGCAGGCAGCACCTGTGAGGCCACATACATGCTGTAGTTCTGGTCCTCAGTCTCCTGCTGTACCGACAGCTCCTCCAGTGTGGCGTCCATGTCCAGCTGGTTGGTCTCCAGCTGCCGCAACAGTGTTTCCCTCTGCGGGGGAGGGAGGAAGGGGAGAAGGGGGAGCAGTCTGTCCTGAGCAGGGGCCCTCAAGGACATGTGCTTTCTCAGGGTCCCCACAGGGCTGCATGCGGTAGTGACATGCAGTTGTCAGGACTGTGGGTGCAGTAGGGGCAAAGGGCCTACAGCTGCCTGGACCTCAAGGCCCATGAGTAGAGAAGGAATCTCATTCCAACTGTCCTGCTGCCCAGCAAAGAAGGAGGCAACTGAGGCAGGAGAGCTCTGCTTTGGCTGGAGTCTAGCCTCTGCCAACCCACACAGCTTTCTCAGGAAAGCTGAGAGGCGGGTGCCTCTTGCATCCCCATGCAAGAGGTACCTGGAGAAATAGGCAAGAAATGAGCACTGCCCACTCTGTTCTGCACGGTGAGGACTTACTTGGAGCTGTAGAAAGGGAATGTTGAAGAACTTGTGAAGGTACTTTAGGCCAAAGCTGTTCTTCATGGAAGACTCAGCGTAGCGGAAATAGGAGGAACCTGGAGGTCTGTTTTCAGAAAAGCAGCAAACGCTTGGTGAGTTGTGTGGTGGTATGGCTTAGTCCCTCCTGTGCCAAGGACACAACCTGGGCCTGAGGCTGCCCATCCACACTGGCCTCCCAATTCCAGGAGGCTCCTGAGCTGTAGGACCCTCCTGAGCCCTATTTAGTGACTAGAGGCGTCCTCCACTGGTCTGAGCAGCTGCACGAAGCCTAATGGCCCTGCAGTTCCAGCACAGCTCTCCTGTGTTGCCCCAGCATGTCATAAGCCCCTGTGAGCCCCCTCAGCCTAATGCACAGGCAGCCCCACCCCAGCTCAAGGCCATAACTGGCTTCAGAGGGAGTGAGAGCTTTGGCTGCCTCAGCATCCCTCCCTGGCCCTGTCCAAGTGCACCGTGGGCAGCATGGCTGCTGGCACCCACCTGTCCAGGTTGTCAATGAAGTCTCGCACATCGTCTGGCAGGATGACCCGGTGCTCGCCCATGTCCCGGTAATTCCCCAGTACGCACACTGGCACGTGGGTCGGCACTTTTGGCAGCTCCCGGAGGATGTAGTTGAACGTCCTTTGGAGAGTGGGATGAAAACCAGTCTCAGCTTCAGCCCAGTGACACCAGTCCTCCCCAGCAAAGCTGGTGTGTGCCTGGCCGAGAACTGTGGCTGCCTGCTTGCTGAGAGCATGTGTCACATATGTACAGAGCTGAGAGAAGACAAGACCAGTAAGTGCTGATCCCTTGCCTTCCTGCTTCCTTCTGTTCCAGGCATGTTTCTATAGCTGCCCTGCCCGTCTATATTTTGCGTCCTGGGCCCTGTGCTGGTCCCCATAGCTGCAGCTTGGCCAATTCTCCCCATATATGGCTGACAGCTGAATTGGCTCTAGGGTTTTGTTCTTTAGCTGTCACCTCCAGGAAGGTTCAGGGACACCTCCTGGCCTCCCCAAACTGTTCTCCAAGTGGTTTATGAAGGAATAACCAATGATAAAGTGTAATAAAACCTCCCAAATGAGAAAAAGCAATATAAACAAATGAAAAATGCCTGTACTGTGTCCATAAGTCAACTTTATTTTGCACACAGTTCTTGTGAAGACCAGGCTGTGGCTGCTTCCAGGCCCAGTGCAGGTGGCATCTGTCCTCTAGCATCTACTGCTTCTCCTGGCCTGGGCTGGCCCCGAGTGCTGGCTGGAGTGTCCAGCCCATGTGGCACCAAGCGCTCCATCCCAGTCATTGTATCCTGTTGCTTCAGGCCCAGGGAGCAGCTGCACCATGTCAGGGTGTAGCCATCTGACCATGTCTGGTGCTCCCTGCCACTGGGGTCTCATGGCTGTTGGATACGTGTCTGCAATTCTTCCCCAGGCTGGCTCATGTCTGCCTGTACTTCCTATCCATTCTTCAGGTGTCAGCCTAGGTGGCAGGAAACCGTCCCAGTTGCCCTCATGGCCGAATCCCCAGTGCTCTGCTCCCTTGGGGGCTGAGGGATGTGACACACAGCAGTGTGGCAAAGCCTGCACAGGACATTTTGGTGGAGATGACACGGCCACTCAGCTTCCAGACTTGACTATACACGGGGAAAGCCACTTCCTACTGGCTGCCTGCTGCTGCCTGTATGGGAGAAAATGCTCACCTCCTGGTTCTATCCCTATTGCTCAATGGGGGTAGCTCCTGTGTGCTCTGCTGAGCTGGAGCTCACATCTGGGGAGGCGACCTGCTCTGGCTATCTGTCTAGACACACAGCTCCCCAGAGACTGCCAAGTGTGTTAGTTGTCAGCATGAGTGGTGCTACACGCTGCCAAGGTAGGTAGAGCAAAGGCTGGCAGAGGTGGTGCTGGCTGGCTGTGGCCAGTGAGGAGCTGCAGGCCTATGTCCCTGAGGCCTGAGTGGTTGATGTGAGAGCTCTTCCCAGGCTAGTACATGGAACCAGGGCAGGCTGCAGGCCTGATGGTGGTGTGGTGTGCCCTGAGATGAACAAGGCCTGCTGTGCAACCTGATGACATGGTCCCAGTGCTGTGAGCCATGCCTGAGTGTCAGGGACGGTGCTGCCCTGCTGTGCCCAGGCCCTGGTGCTGCACTGCTGGTCTTCATGGGGACCTCCTTCTCCCGGGAGCAAAGAGCCCAGGTGTGTCGGCTGCTGGTGCTGAGGCTCTAGCTGGTTCTGCTGACTGTTGCCCACAACTCCACACAGAGGACTGGGAGCTCATGCCTGCAGTCATCAGACGTTGTCTGGTACACTTCCCCCTTGCTGTTCTGCTCTCCTTGCTTGACAGCAATGAGCCTTAGCTAAGGATCTTCCTGGTGAGTCCTCAAAGATAGGGATCTTGGGAAGCCCACAGCACAAGTGGCCATAGGACTGCCAAATCTTAGGTGGTGTTTTCAGGAATGCCCCAAAACTACCCTTTGCACCTGGCCTGAGACTATCTGCCCACCATGCCCTTGGCCCACAGACGTGGTCACGTCCCTGCCCCAGGACCAAACACTACAGACAGCCAGGCTAGGTGCTCTATGTGGCTCTACTGCCCTCAGCTGGTCCTATAAGAGGCACTTGGCACCTGCGGAGCGATGCTGACCTGTTATCTGCCGGAAAAAGCGGGTGGCTGAGAGGTCATGTGGGGCCAACAGTCTTGGGTGGCCTTGCCAGCCTGCCCCGGGCCTTACCACTGCTTGGTGATGTCGAACATCATGACCACCCCATTGCAGTTCTTGTACACGTCCAGGAACTCAGCATCCAGGGCCATCTCAGACTCCACCTGGGGACAAGGGGGAATGGTTGTGAGGCTTCTGGGCCGGTTCTACCAATGTGGACCACAATCACTGAGAAACAGCCCAACGTGACTTTTCTAATCTGAAAAGATGACAGAGGCTCAGTGCCTGTAGCACAGTGGTTACAGCGCCAGCCACATACACCGAGGCTGGTGGATTTGAACCTAACCTGGGCCAGCTAAACAATGACAACTGCAACAAAAATAGACAGGTGCTGTGGTGGGCACCTGTACTCCCAGGTACTTGGAAGGCTGAGGCAAGAGACCGCTTAAGCCCAAGAGTTTGAGGTTGCTGTGAGGTGTGATGCCACAGTCCTCTATTGTGAGACTCTGTCTCAAAAAAAAAAAAAAATAGTGAAAAGATGACAGAACTGCTTTGATTTGGGAAAAAAATACTAAAGAGAAGATGGTGCTGGATAAAACCACAACTGTGGAGCATGGGGGTTGGAAGCTGGCCTCAGGGTCTGACAAGAAATAGCAACCCTGCTATTGGCCACCCTGGACAAGACACCTGCCCTGGGGACTCTTAACCACCAGCACCACTGTTCCTAGGCTCCTGGACCTGCCAGCTCACCACTCAGACAGGGAAGTGAGAGTTGACAGTCAGCCATCCTGGACTAGATGTGCCTCCCAGAACATCCTAGAGCCAGGAACCAGGTGGCTGCAGTGCTGTGGGACAAGCCAGCAGACCATACTTGACAAGGGGGCTGGATGGGGGCCACTTAACCCCCTGCCCTGAAGGACCAGGAAGTGGTGCCCTGCACACAGAACATTGACACTCCGAACAAGTGATCTTTTCCTGACCACAGGGGCAATAGCAGCTTTGGCCTCGGGGTAGTTCTGAGCAGGGAGGAACACTCACAACCACGGGCCAACAGCTCCAAGTGTGTCCTGTGCTTTAATGGTTGTGGCCACTGTGACAGGGACATGACATTTGGCCAGGTCACTTAAATACCTCTCAGGCCATCCAAACTCAAGGTGTTATCTGCGAGAGCAAAGGCAGTCTCATTAACTTGTGGGAAGTAGCTTGGATGGGCTGGCCACCCCAAAATGCAACTGTGGGTAACAAGTGGGTCCTCTAAGAAGTTAGGACAACTGCCCCACCTCTGACCCTGGGCTACCTGTGTCCCTGCCAAACACAGACAGAGTGTGGCTCACCTCCTGGGGGTCGTTCTCCATCTTCAAGCCATCCCCTCGCTTTTTACATTTTCCTTGTTAAAAGACAAACAGAAATTGTAGGCTGGAATTGCTGGGCCCACCTTGCCCCCCACTTAAGCAGGTGCCATACCCTCTGTTCTTGCTCAGCAGGCCAACCCTGGAGTGCATCCACCAGCTAAGCCAGGGCCCAAGGGAAGCCTCCTAGGCAGCCCTGGCTGACCTACAAAGCTTAGGGAGGGAGGCAGAGGCCAGTGGCCTGATAGCCAGATGGTGTACAGGGGAGCTGCTGGCAGAGTCTGCACTGGAAGGTGTGAGGGGACCCAACCAACAGGGTCAGCGGGCTGTTGGAAGGTCTCAGGGTGGCCCTGCCAGCACCCCCTGGAGTCCAGGGCAGGGCCGTCCATGGCCACAGAGCCTCAAGACAGCTCCTAAGATACCCATGCATGGAATAGCTAACATTGGAGGCGATGCCCATGGCTATACAGGACCTGCCCTGGGAGATGCCCCAGCCCAGTCTCTTGGACTGACACAGGCTCTGGGGGCCTGAGTAACACAGAGGTCCAGGACTGTCAACCACCCCCCCCATCTCCAGTACGCTCCACTGAGAGATGACTGGTGCCATCTGGGCACCCAGAAACAACCCCCAGTCTGAGTAAGGGACCAGGGCAAACAGAACCCCAAGAACAAAGAGAATCACTTAAAACTCTACCTTCTACCTCTTTCTATAGATTTTTTTTTTTTACATACTGCAGGCCTACGGTTAAAGCAAAACCAAGGGTTTAGGAAATTCCTGCGATTCCGAAGGGCGGCTGAGCCTGTGACCCATGGTGTTAGGCAGTCACTCCCTTGAAAACTGCAGTGGACAATCTCAGCCTGGCTGACCCACACAGACCCTGGCAGATGGGCCACACAGCCCCCTGGACACTGCTGTGCAGCCCGAGCCAGGAAGGATGCCTCTAGCGCATGTGGCCTTCCCAGTGAGCTGCCTCGGTCCAGACCACAGGACCAGCTCCCCAGGAAGGGCGTGAGGCTGGCAAGAAGCCTGGGCCTGGCTGAAGGACCGAGAGCCAGGGGGCCATTAACTCCCAAGGCTGCCAAGCTACCCTCCCTTCCAGAAGCTCCCAAGGCCTCTAAGCCTCCTTCCCTTCCAGAAACTCCAAAGGCCTCCTACCTCCCTCCCTGCCAGAAGCTCCCAAGGCCTCTAAGCCTCTCTCTCTGCCAGAAGCTCCCAAGGTCTCCCAGCCTGCCTCCCTGCCAGAAGCTCCCAAGGCCTCTAAGCCTCCTTCCCTTCCAGAAACTCCAAAGGTCTCTCAGCCTCCCTCCCGGCCAGAAGCTCCCAAGGCCTTCTACCTCCCTCCCTGCCAGAAGCTCCTTGACACACAGATTGACTCTGCCTTCACCACCCCCACAGGACAGCTGACCTGATGGCCTTGCCCTGTCACTCTTGAGAATTTCCCTGCTGTCCACAAGGCCACAGACACTCACACTCCATCACCCTCTGCTACTGGATGGTGCTTAGGGCACTGTGAAAACAGTGAGCGAGGGTGAGAGACAGAAGAGGCCTTTCTTTCCCATGCAAAATGACCTTGAGCAGGGCAACACCAGACCATGAGGATGCTAGGCACTTGAGTGGAGCTGGGGCCCACTCGCTCCCAGGCCTGGCCTGATTTTGGGCCAGGGAGGCTCTGCAGTGGGTGCTACCAGGTGGGTGTAAGGGACACACCCTGTCCCCACCCCCTAGGAGCCCTACCTGGTCTCTCACTGGACAGGGAGGGTGTGGGAGGCATAGGCTTAACAGAAGTTGTGGAGAAACTGCTCCATGCTTCCCTCGCCTCCGTACCCGAAGGCCCTTCATGCTGCTGAGGGCACAGCCTGCTGCAAGCAGGAGCCTGTCCTGAGAGGCTGAGACCACGTTACATCCCAGTTCCATGGCATTTAGCCACGCTACTCGTCCCGCTCTGGCAATCCTGTCCACAGGAAACCTGCACCCCACTCAACCCAGTGCAGATTTAGGGATAAAGCAAGCCAAGGGCTCAGGAAATTCCTGCAGGAGCACAGAGCCCCGCATTCTGAGGTGGCCCAGGACATGGAGAGGGCCAAGGGCCACTCAGCCTGGACTACCTGGTGGCTGTGGACACACAAGCTGTGCAGAGGAGGCATGTGGGAACACTATGTCAGCGAAGGGGCTGAGGGAACCACTGACTGCACCAGTTCCCCACCTTTTGCCAGCCAGATCATCCCCCCACAACCCAAATGCACCCCCAAACATTAGGCCAAGGGACGAGAAGCACCACCTTGCAGCTCATGTAGACACCCTGCCATAGCCACACCTGCAAGCCTGAGGCCAGTACAAGAGCTCAGATCTCACTCATCACACACGTGTGCACATTATACAAGCATGCAGCCACATATATGCACACGCATGGGCACCCCCCCACCCCGATGGCTGGCACTGGGGAGGAACGTGTGCTCGCACTCAGAGGACCACAGAGAGGAACCTGGGACCTGATCAAAGAAAAGACAGGAATGAGACCAGAGGCCTACGATGTGAGACTCTTATGAAGGCTGCTGCCCTCCCATGACCCCCACGAGTTTGAGTAGGAGTCTTTGTGTGGCCTGAGATCCCTGAGAAGGACCAAGCTCAGGAAGCCAACAGCCAGAGGGACACATCCACCAGAAAGACAGCAGCTTCTAAAGTAAAGGAGCTAAGCCCTCAGCTATGGGCACAGCAGCTGCCTGGCACCTGGTCCTATGCCATAGCTCTGCAGGAGGGGCTCCTAAGACACCCCTGTTCTGTGTCTGCCCTGGTGGATGCATGCTCTGCAGGCCAGTGAGGGAACAGGTGCTCAGGCAGCAGAGCGCACAGCATCTGACAGCCCACTGCATTTGCCTGCCCTGTCCACTGTAGGTCCAGGCAGCACCAAGCAGGATCCAGAGCTAAATGAAAGCAGTTGGCAGCAAACTCAATCTCCAGCCCTAGATTAGCTGTGATGCATCTGCAGGGCACACACTGAATGTGCGTCCAGCAGAACAGGAGCCACATCTGACCAGGCCTGCTTAGCAGCCACGTCAGGGCCACAGCCACCTGGCCACACATGTGACGGGTGGTGTCAGGAGGCAGGGCTCTCACCGTGCACAGTGAGGCACTAAGAGGAAGATGCCCATGGCAGGAGACGTGCCTCACCTTTGTCAACCACGTCCCAGACCTCGACTTTCACGATGTCATCCGTGGCTGAAATGGGGAAAAATTCCAAGATTAGTAGCCAGTATGAACTTCTGGTTTCACAAAGTGGTTTCTGCTTGTTCCCCTGGGCGCTAGCTCCCACAAGATGCCAGATGTCAGCACAGCATCACTCTGACCTTCACTCAAAGGCTGCATAGTGGGCAGCACCTGTAGCTCAGTGGGGCACCAGCCACATACACTGAGGCTGTGGGTTTGAACCTGGCCCGGGCCAGCTAAAATAACAATGACAACTGCAACAACAACAACAACAAAAAACAGCCGGGTGTTATGGCAGTAGTCCCAGCTACTTGGGAGGCTGATGCAAGAGAATCCTTTAAGCCCAAGAGTTGACAGCACTCTACCCAGGGG